GAAATAGTTTGTATGCCCTCACTCAGAGGAATGTTGTCATCCAGAACTGTCTTAGTTAGGATTTCTGTTACTGTCAAGAGACACCATGACCACAGCAACTCTCATAAAGGAAAACATTTAATTCAGTGGTTTACAGATCAGAGGTTTAGTCCATTATCATCATGGTGAGACATGGTGTCATGCAGGCAGACATGGTGCTGGAGAAGGAACTGAGAGTCCTACATCTTGCACAGGAAACAGGAAGTGAACTGTCTCACTGGGCATGGCTTGAGCATATATGAGACCCTAAAGCCCACTTCCACAGTGATGCACTTCCTCCAACAAAGCCACACCCCAGTAGTGCCACTCCCTATGAGTTTATAGGGGCCAATTACATTCAAACTAGCACAAGAACCTCCTAACATCTGGTCTTCTCAGTGTCCTTGATTATAACCTAGTCACTGGTTATAATTGTACAGCAAAGCTTGTTGGAGGTCAGGCTCTCAAGGAGAGTTATAAACATATTTGCAATATTCCCTGATTTCTAAAATTGTTGAAATTCATAAGAAAAAATAGTAATGATTTTCTTCATAAAAGTCATTTGATGAACAAATCACAAGATGGGCTCTCTCCCTCCCTCTCTCCCCCTGCCCCCGCCACTCAACATGAAGAAATTGCTGGGCTTTGATGTAATTTAATGGAAGATCACTTACTTAGCATTCATGGGGCCCTGGGTTCTATCCTTAGCTTTGGGGAGAGAAAGAGAAAGCAAGAGAGAAGGAAGGGAGGTTCGAGAGGGAGAGGGAGAGAGATTGGGGAGATGAACCATTTGGTAAAATGGTGGCCATGCAAGCATGAGAACCTCAGTTGGATCCCCAGGCATGGTATCATGCATTCCTAATCCCTGGGCTGGGGAGGAAGAGGCAGGGTAATTTCTGGGGCTCACTGGTTAGCCAGTCTAGTCGAATCAGAAAACTCAAAGTTCAGTGAGAGAAAGTAAGGTGAGTAGGAGTTGGAGAGATTGCTCAGTGGTTAAGAGCACTGGCTATTCTTCCAGAGAACCAGGTTTCAATTCCCAGCACTCACATGGTGGCCCACAACATCCTGGACCTCCTCTCTAGCCCCAATGGGCACCAAACACACAAGTATATAGATACATATGCAGCCAGAACATCCATGCACATAGATTTATTTTAAATTAATAAAATAAAGTGATAAGCAATTGAAGACAACATCTGACATTGATCTTTAGCCTCTACACACAGTACACATGTACACATGAAAGGGAAGGGAAGGGAAAGAGGGAGGGAGGGAGGGAGAAAGGAGGAGAGGAAAAGAGTTGGAGAGTCATTTCATAAATCGTTTGCATGTATCAGTTTGCATGGTCTTATAGCTCAGTGAGTCACATATTCAATGGGACAAATAGTGTGTCAAGGTCAGTAGTAAAATGGAATTAGGTTACCATATAAACAATTACTAATTCCTAATTACTAGGAAACGGTACCTTTTGTTGGCCCTTTATCTCACCTACAAGGCATCATTTGGTTATCTGCTTGGAGGAAGTTAGCATTCCAGACTGCATCTTCCCTTTTTATGAGTTCTTTTCTTTGTCTCCCAAACATTTATAGCATTTCAGGCGCCTGCGCAGCACATTTTCTATTTTCTGCACATTATTTGGCAGATTTCTTAAACCGGTTTGAGCTTCAAGGGTTATCAGTTGCCATTGCAAATCCCAGAGCAACACAGCTAAAGAGAGAAGAATTTCTTTTAGCTCACAGTTTCCGAGCTCTCAGTTCATAGTCACTCAGTTCTATTGCTTCTGGGCCAGGCTGTAGCAGAACATCCCGGTGGGAAATACATGGCAGAGGAAAGCACTCTCTTCATAGCGAACAATAGACTGAGAGGGGGGTTGCCTGTGTTAGCTGAGCCCCTCCCTTTAATTCTGTCTGGGCCCCTGGCTTGTGAGATGGTGCCACCCACATCCAGGTCTTCCAGTCTCACAGGCACACCCAGAGGAGTGCCCTGTGCATCCCGGTGCTTTTCAGTTCAATGAAGTCAGCAGGCAGGTTGACCACACCTCCAGAGTACAGATATTTTGAGACAAGAAGACTTTATACTGACCTTCAGCGTTAATTTATGCTTATGCCTTTTGTTTTTCATTACTATATATGAACTGTTCATTTTCCTGTATTCATCTCTTTACTCTTCTGATGCTACCAGCTTCCTGCATAAGTCACATTCTTAGTATTATTTTGCAATGAATTGGTGAGACTAAAAAGTAAAGGGACGGCGCCCTAAACAAGTACGGCACTATTGGTGCAGATAAATGAATGTAATTCCTCAGAATAGACCCCTCAGAACCCAAGTCTTTGCTGAGGCTAGCCCAGAGGCCTTGACTTCTGGGAATAATTAAAGCAAATGGGAGCAGTATGAGCAGTGCTCACACAGAAGGGAGTAGCGTTTATGAGCACCTATTAATCCTATTTGTGTGCAGGAAGGATCTGCTCTCTCCAAATCACAGCTGAATAAACTCAGAAGTGATGGCCACTGTTCCCCAACCAGCCTTATCCATCATGTTGAATGTACTCTTCTTCTGTGCATTTAAAATATTTCCTTTTTCTAAAATCACTAGCTCCGTCTTTATTTTGTTCTAGTTTCTAAACTGATTTTGGATGTGCAAAGAGACAAGAGGAAATAGAATATATGTTGAAGAATATTGTCATTTTGATTTTTTTCTTTTATTGTTTACTTTTCGAGACAGGATTTCTCTGTGTAGCCCTGATTGTCCTGATATTCACTCTGTGGACCAGGCTGGCCTCAGACTCACAGAGATCTGTCTGCCTCTGCCTTCAGAGTGCTGGGATTAAAGGTGTGCGCAACCACCGCCCGGCTTCATTTTCAAATATGTTCTTAGCAGAGCTCTAACACAGTTGCCCATGCTCTGTAGGTTTGAGTGTTTGAGAGGATGTGTGTAATGAGTGACCTCAACCATCCCTGCCTCCAGTTATCTGATATGGATTTCCCACTGGACTTTCAAAAGACATCTTGATTAACGTCTTGGGTAGAAGTGACTGAGCTGTCTCCCTTCAGTCTTCAGTGTGTCTGACTGGAGTTTTAGAGGCACTTTCCTGCCGCATGGCTGCTCTTCCTAGGCAGATAATGTTGGAAGCAGGGACAACAGGGTGACTAGCTTCTGGCTTAGGATGGAGGCCACAGACCTATGGAGCTTAGGCCACAGGAAGCTGTGGCTGTCCACGAGCTTGGTACAGGCATATCTTAAAGATATTTAAAAAGAGATAGATGGGGGGGGGGGTTGTTCCTGCCTGTAATCCCAGCACTAGGCCCATGGAGGCAGAAGGAGAGTTTATGAAATGCTGCCTCAAAAAATAAATAAAATAAAATAAGGGCCAGAAAGAGAGGTCAGTGGGTAAAACTTGCTGCACACGTGTGAAGACTTGTGTCCAGATCTCTAACATGCAACCCCTGCTTTTAGCCCCAGCACTGTGGGGAAGAGGTAGGCAGATCTCCAGGGTTTGCTGGACAGCCAGTCTAGCCAAATTGAGCTCTACAGTCAGTGAGAGTCCCTGTCTCAAAAAATAACGTGGAGAACTGACTGAGGAAGACATCTTGAGATAAACCACTGGCCTCCATTTGTGCCCACCTGGGTGAATGTCCTCAAAAGCTCTCTCTCTCTCTCTCTCTCTCTCTCTCTCTCTCTCTCTCTCACAAGCAAAAAGCTTCTTAAAGGGATTGGAATTTTGCCAGTGCTGTTGATTTTCTGTAGAGTGCATCAGAATTCTTCAGACATAAAAATAAGCATTTCTATGTAATAAGAATAACATACATACTTAGTTTTATGCTTTGTCATTCTTTAATCTCAATGAATCTAAAATTTAGGTATCCTTACAAAATGCTTCTGTGGAGTCCAGGATGTATCCAGTGCTCACAGTGCACATCAGTGCCCAATAAATGTGTTCTTCTTTTTAGTTTGAAAAGGTTCCTTCTCTGCAGCTCAGGCTGGTCCCAAACGTGAATCCTCCTGCCCCAGCCTCCCCAGGGTTAGGTAGCAGACTGAGTCTCCACATGTAACCCAGCAAATGTTTTCTGAACTAAACTAGTACAATACTGTTGTGGGATGTCTGTGGCCTTTGTGAAGATATATTTGCTGTGATTGTTTAATAAAAAGTGGAATGGCCGATAGCTAGGCAGAATGTGAGGCAGGACTTCTGGGGAGAGAAAGGAAGGGGAGTAAGATCTAAGCACACAGGAGAAATGGAGAAGAAACAGGAGGAGCAAGATGGAAGAGAGGTAATGCCATGTGATAGAACATAGATTAATATAAAATGGATTCATTTAAGTTATAAGAGCTAGGTAGGAACAAGCCTAAGCTATAGGCCTAGCTTTCATAATTAATAGGAAGTCTCCATGTCATTATTTGGGCTGACTGGCAGGACAGAAAAAGACTCACTATACAATACATTGCAAAGCATGCTGAATACATTGTAAATACATTGTATTTTCCTGACAGTCTCTTGTACAGATAGCTGTTTGCCAGCATGGGTAACTTGGATTTTATAAATCAAACATGCTAAGCTGTGTGGCAGAACAGCTCATATGATACACTGATAAAACGAAAAAGTGTGTGTGTGTGTGTGTGTGTGTGTGTGTGTGTCTGTGTATTTATGTGAGTGTGTATGTCTGTATACACACACACACACACACACACACACACACACACACACACACACGTGTGCGCATATCTGCATGTGTGTATATGTATGTATATGTGCATATGTATATATAAGTGTATTGTGTGTGTGCGTGCATTTGCACATGTGTGAATATGTGTGTATGTATGTGTGAGTGTATGTACATATGATGTAAGTAAGATGGGCCAATGAGATGGTAGACCCAGAGGCTACAGTGAGGTCAGCAGGGGTGGGGCCAGCTCCCCAGTGGTGGTGGAAAGCCTTATTCGAGACATAGAGACTCATGCCAATCATTCAAAAATCTCTTTGCAGAAACCCAGAGCTCCAGCATCTCCCACCATAGAAGAGGATGCCTGTCTGTCCTTCCCTAAACCTCCACTGGACCCTGCAAAGATAAGAAGAATAAGTGGTTCTCGTGCGAAATTCTACAGGGCTGCCTCCCAGGGAATTCTTCTGTCTGACAGATCCCTTGCTGCTGCCCACTGTAAGGCTGTGTAACACCCTGCAGACCCACGCAGGGATACTGCTTGAATTTGTACACAAATGCTATTTTTATGTAATTTTTCCTGCCCCTAGATGGTTCTTACATAAACTTAGAACTTGTTAATATTGGCCAAATAGAAGCTAAGAAAATTGTTTATGTATTACTTTCCAGTTATTTATAAAGAATATCTAAATATTACCACTTAAAAAGCATTATTCTATAAAAAAAGAATATTAGAGGGTTTTCAAATGAATGGTTGACATATATCAGAAAGAAATAATTCTTGGGGTAGAGGTTTTTTGTTTTTTGTTTGTTTGTTTGTTTGTTTTTGCGGTGGTGAAATTTCAAGTAAGAGTTTCTACGTGTAGCTTTGGAGCATGTCCTAGAACTCACTCTGTAAACCAGGCTGGCCTCAGATTTACAGAGATCCACCTGCCTCTGCCTCCCAATTAAAGGTGTTCACCACCACCCTCAGGCCTAGGGTAGAGTTTTTAAAAGGTTGTGTGTATTCACACACACAGTAAATAAACCAAAATAGAAAAAAATAGTTTGAAGAAATTAATGAGAACTAGGAGTCTCATACTGCACGCCAACTCCAGCTTTAATAGCTTTCTGATCCTTTGGGAATACATGAGCTTAAATTGAATGGGACTTTTATTTTTGCTGTACAACTACCAGCCGTGTGCCTAGACCCACAAGTGGAGGCTAACAGTGCCACCTTGTAAGGACTGTAACAGGTGGATTAAACTCTACCCAGGCACACCCTGCAGGCTCCCAAGTGCAGGGACAAGGAATGACTGACTGGTGGGGTGGCAAGAAATTTGGTGGATAACACTAACATTGAAAAATAAATGAAGTGGAACACAGGTAATGAGAACTCCCAGGCTCTGTAGCATGCAGGCCAAGTACTGTGCCAAAAGACTCCAGTTGTTGAGTGTGTTGGAGCCCCGCTGATAGATGTTTCTTATTGTTTGTGCTTAACAGTGCAGACAGAAGCTGATGGGCCTTCCTCATTAGGGACCGATGAAGAGGAGTTGGAACACTGTGACCCAGGTGGTTATAGCATCCATCTGGGCTGCACACCTCCATCTGTGCATCCTACTTGTTTGACTTGCAAGCTTTTATTTTAGATCACTGCCAACATTTAAACGGTTGCAAGATCTCACAGTAGGAGCCTGATTATGTCTTCTTGTGAAAAAACAGATGTGGTGGTACTGTGTTCTGTAGCAGAGTGATTGGAGCTCAGAGGCTGCATAGCCTGGGGTAGGATCAGCAGGTCACACATACCCCAGCTCACTTCAGACATTTCCCCATTGGGTGGTGGTTATAGAGGAAGAGGCAAATGAGGAAGGGTGGGGGCATGTGTCACACCATGATGCCATAACCAAGGAGATCATGTGATTGGCAGCTTGATGAACCCCTTTTGTCTCTGTCCTGATACAGTCACTCAGTCTGTTACTTGTTGATTGTTGAGCTCCTTACCTAATGCGGGGTACCATTCGAGCTCAGCAAGTCTTGTCCTTAGGGAATCTTCAGTTGGGGGTGGTAAATAAGTGATGTTAGAACAAATGAGTGAGGCCAAGGGCTCCTCACAGGTTGTGAAAAGGATAAAGCACATGACAAGGTAGGGAGTGACTGTACTTTCCTTTAGCTCGGGAGCCCTGTTGAGGTGCCTTGAATGACAGTGAGGAAGCCATGGATAACCTGTGGTCAGAGTGCCCATGCATACATACATACATATCTCTGACTTCTTTTTCTACACTCAGGAAGTAATGACACTAAGAAGTCATTGTCATTTTAAAAGCACACATCAATTTAAAAAATTACTGGAACTGCCCCACCCTGGAATCCCTGTCATTTATGCAGGAGCCATACTCTCTTATTGTCTAGAAAAGGTGCATTGTTGGGTCACTGGAGCCCCAAAGCCATCTGAGCCTGGAGACCTAGGGTGTGCCTTTCCTTGGGTGTGAAGTCATTTGTAGCTGACACCCCGTGAGTGGGGCTTGGGTGTGATGACTTAGAATTCTTCAGTTGAGACTAGGAAAGAGGCAGAGGCTTGTGTGGTCATCCTCATAGGTACACTTAGTGTGGAGGGCAGGCTTGAATCTAGAAATGGTGACCAATAGCTGACTCCCCTACCTCTCCCCACCCCACAGTTATCCAAACCCTGGGGCAGACGCCACTGTATCCTGGACCCTGTCACATTTTCCACCACCAAGCCCTCTGAAGCTTCCTAGGATGGACCGTCTGTGTCCTCCTTTTCTGCCACTCCCAAAGCCTCCATCACCTCTTGCCTCACCCCTGCCTTGTTCCCTTTAGATTTGTCCCCAGCCCTTCAGGGGGTTGCAGGGTTTCAACACAAGACCTTGGGAAGTGTCCGCAGAGCCTGGAGACGGCAAGCTCCTAGTGACTTGGAGCAGACGCCCTATCCCTTTAATCCTGAAGACCATGAGAAATGTTCATATTCTGTGCCCTGTAGAGCATCAAGAGGCTCAGGAGGGAACACATCAGATAGCATCACTGCTTGCTCAAAATCCTTCAGAGGGCCTCTGTGCCTCCAAGAATGTGACCACACTGAGTTCCAGAAAATTCCAGAGAATGCTGCTGGCAAAGTGCTAATAGCTGTTCCCTGGAACTAGGCCCAGAGTTCAGGCAATTCAGGGAGGCAGTGCCCATTCCTGGCCCTGTGGTGCTTTGTAGAGGGGTGAGGAAGCCACTGTGGACAGGACAGAAAGCTCCTGAGTGTTCATGGGGCCCACGTTCCCCAACTGGACCTGGCTGTGGAATCTTTCAGGAACCCAGTTGGGCAAATTCTAGTCTGTTCTAGAAGGCAGAAAACCTTTTTCGTAAAGGTCTGCACAGTAAATATTTTAGGTCCTGGTGGCCCATTCCATCTCCATCCGGTATATTCCACTCTGCCATTAGAGTGTGGAAGTAGCCATTGCTGATTTATGGCTACTGATTTTCATTGGTCATAATACATTGTTGTTCCCTTGGTTGCCCCCACAACCCACCCCACCCCACCCATCCAAAATTATAAAAGACCATCTTTATTTTGCAAGTTATTATAAAACATGAGGTAGAGCAGATTTCCTGGCCTCTGCCCAAGGGATAGAGTCCTAATACCTTTGTAAGCACAGCTTCCGTGACCTGGCTCTAGCTTGGTAACATTCCAGTGCCTGTCCTCCTGCATCCTAGGAGCTATGAACCTTAAAACCTGCCCACCAGCACCTACTTCTCTCAGCTAGGGCACGCCCACCCATTTTCCCAACCTCTTTAAACAGTACCACCAGCTGAGAACCGTGTGTTCAGACAAAGTGTATGCCCCAGGAGCATCCCCTTCAGTCCCCACAACCTGAGCTGGGCCAAGCCTCCAGCAGGACCCGCTGTGTTATTTGTAGGACTCAGTGCAAAAGACAAATTTGGAGAACTTTGTTTAAAAATCAACAATTCCCAGGTGTCAACAGCAGAACATTAAATGGAGCAAGGTGCCCACCCACCTGCCCTACAGTTCACGCTGGCAGCTGGCCTCAATGTGGACTTTTGCTCCTTTTTAAAAAGTTGTTTGTTTGGTATTTACCCTTTCAGATGTTTCTGAGAGGGCATCTCCTCTCTGCCTCTTCCCTGATCACTCCCAGCCCTCACTTCTCACTCTGTCCTCTTGCTACCTGTCAGGAACATAGGACTGCATTGCATCAGCACCTCTGCCTCTCTGTCTCCCCTGCTAGATCAAGTGCGTCAGTGTGCTTTCCTGTGCTGCTTGTGGTCTGTGGCTGTGCAGCATGTCTGAGACAGAGCTGTTCCTATGTCATAACACTGAAGGGAGGTGTCTGTCTCCTCTTGAAGTTTACCCACGGTGGAATTCTACAGGTGTCGCACATGTGTATGGTGGGGAGTACTGAGAATCATTATGTGTGTTTAGGAATTCCGTTTGTTTTCCGGATTTGGGTTTTGTCTGCTTGCTTTTTTTGTTTGTTTGTTTGTTTTGTTTTTGTTTTATTTTAATACATATAATTGTGAGCCCCCATGTGGGTGCTGGAAATGAAACCCAGGTCCTGTGGAAGAGCAGTAAGTGCTCTTAACCACGGAGCCATCTCTCCAATCCTGCTTGTTTGTTTTCTGAGATAGGGTCTTGCATTATAGTCCTGGCTGTCCTCAAACCCCATACATAGACCAGACTATGCTCAGGCTAGCCCTGGACTTTCAGCAATCTTCCTGCCTCTGCCTCCTGAGTGCTGAGGTAATGTGTATGCCACTGTGACTGGCTGTGCTCAGTTTCTGGCTCTCCGTCTGCAGTCAGGACAGCTCCCCTTTGTGGGAATCATGCCATGTTCTGTGCATCATTGTGAGGACAGAGGACTACAGCTCCTCCATCTACAATACTGTTGTGTCCCCTCTGGGAGATGAGTGAAGGCTGGGACTTTGTCGACACAGACTCTCCCATGCAGCCCTGACACATAGTGTTTTTAATAAGTATATGAAGAGTGAATGGGTAAAGAAAATGCTAACACTAGAGTGAGAGATTGAAGTGGTTTATAATCTAAAATGGTGTGTGCTTTGTACATTGGAGGTACAGTTGTTTAGGGTGGTGTGGTAGGTAGCCACAGACCAGAATAAGGGTTCATAGTTCCAGTAGTAATAACAGTAAACTCAAGTTCTCAGTGAGCCAACACCATACCATCACTGTACCAGGTCCCGTCAATTAATTCTTACCATGTACCCATTATGGAGGTGGCTGGAGAAGATGGGGAAATTGAAAGATCTGAACACATCTCAGAGCTGATGCTTGGGTGGTTACCCTTGAACTGAGCCTGATGGAACTGAAGCCAAAGCCCTTACCCCTAGACACAAAAGCGGCGAGGAGCCAGGCAGCTGTGGGTTGGTGACCTGGAAGCCCCGCTCTTGCTCTCATGTCCTTAGGTCATTAGCATCACTTTTCAGGTCTTAATTTTCTCATTTCAACCACTCTTAGGGCTCCTTACAACTTCCACCTGTCATGTTTGAAAGCAGAGCCAGGTGGAGAGGGTTTTTGCCACCGTCAGCTTTCAGTGGTTTGCCGGTTTCTAAATAAGTGCAGACAAACTTGAAAGTATTTCCCTATACAAAGCTCACTTCATCCCAACCCTCACCTATGATAGGGAGGTTTATCCTCTCCTCCCTTTTGACACAGACTAGGCTAAGGGCAGGTGGATGACAAGCTATTCCTGATGTCTGTTTGCTGATCGGAAAGTTAATCTGTGTTCCAAATTCAGCATGCGTTCTGTTTCGGGTGATCTGTGTGATCTTGCTAGCCTATCTGCCCTTCTTCAGGAAGCCCTCTCAGTGGGTCACATTGTTATTGCCCTGGGACCCTGGGACCAGCCCTCTTCCTCCAGGGCATCTCTGCAGCTCTTCCTCCACCACCCTGGGCACACTCCTGCCTTAGAGCCCCTGCTCCAAACACCCTCTCTCATGGCTGCCAGTAGTCTCCTTCCTTGCCCTAACAGCTTCCACCTACTCGCCCCCCATTAAAACTGCTGTCTGTCTCCCTCCCAGTTCCCTTCACTCTCTTCCACTTTTCTGCTTTTCGTTGCCCGTATTAAAACCCATTGGGTACCTTGTTATGGTATACTACTTATAAAGACCCATGTAAGTCCTATGATTAGGGAAATCTCTTTTGTCACTGATGTACGGTTTGTACTTGATACTCTATTATTATATTAACGTCTTTCTCTGTGTAACAGCTCTGGCTGTCTTTTTTTTTTTTTTTTTTTTCACTAAATCTCTTGTAACATAGGCTGGCCTAGAACTTATTATGTGGTAAAGGCTAACTCTGGACTTCGTAACGTCTTCCTTCTACCTCCCAATTGACTGGGATTACAGGTGTCTGCCATCACATTCAGCCATAAATTATTTTTAAATGGAAAAAATACAAACATTGTGTTTAGGAAGAATTATTGTTATGGGGCCTAGGAGTACTTAGTGAGATAGATAGTTAACTTAAGTGCCTGTGTTTTCCTTCAGGTAAACCAATAGAGTTAATATCCTATTCATTTTTTTGTCCACAGACATAATGGTGCCAGGCCTAAAATTGTAGTAGAGTTTTGTTTTGTTCAGGGAGGTTTTAACCATAAACACTCCAGACTTGATTACAAGCCATGGATAACTTTTATATAAATCCATAGACTGCAGATAAAACATTGAAAGGTAGCAATTCCTGAAGTAAGAAATGTACTGAGAAAACATTTCCTTGCTATTTCAGCAAAGACCATGGAGGAATCCAAAGAGACTGTTACCATGGGGAATTCTACAGCAAAAATAAATGGGACTTATTTAACAGTTTCAAATGCCATCGGTCATTTGAAGAGTCACCCACTCCAACTCACTTATGAACAAGGCTTCAGAGAAACCAAAGAGCAAGAAGTGTTCAAGGAGCCACCCCCATCACCTCATCTCCGAAGCAGAGGGTCAGTATTCTCTGTTGTGGATTTTTGGGTGAGAGTAATCATTGTCACTCACAAGTTCTTTGTCTTATGTAGAAGACTGATTTGGTTCCCCCCACCCCTTATATAAGCCTGGTTTTTTGTTAATGTATGATAGGAGAGGTTTTTGTTTTGCTTTGTTTTGTTTTTTGGTTTTTTTTTTTTTTTTCTCCTCTTGGCTTTCCCTGACTCCCTGCTTCATCCTTTGAAACCCTGCATAATGGCCAAAATGATGTACTTTGGGGCTGTCAGATAAAGATGAAGCTGGATGGTTTCAGCTAGGCCCTGTGTGGCGGGTGAGTAAGCTTCTGTTTCTGTAGTATTTGGGGTTCTAGCTGGGCCTAGGGTCTCCTGTGACTGCCCTTTGCTTTACTGTACTGTTGTAAACTCAACAAGAGTGGATACTTGTGTTATTCTCCAGTAGAAGCTTGGTTTAAATATTTACTGTGCTAACTAGTGCTAGCATAGGAACACCCTGTGGGGTTGGTTTGCCCCTCATACAAGAATGATGGGGAATTAGTTGATTTTATGTTTCATTCTTATATAGGGCTTCCCTAAAGCACTTTCCTGCCACACTGAGAGTTAGTGGAGAAAGAAGCATTGTTCATTCCTACCATGGTGATTTGCTAAAACCTTACATCTAGAGGTCGGAGCAGCAGATAGAACAGAGGATAGGCTGCGTCCCCAGTCCTGGCCAGTACTGATGCTAAGATAAGCAGGGTCACTCAGTTAAAGATCTTTTCTTTCTTTTTTTTTTTTTTCTAGAACTTTCCATTGGGTCATCATGGGCAAATGCCCAGTTCAAATTTGTTTAACAAGATTAAATTCCACAGGCCATTTTAGGCCCCAAGTCCTTGTTGCTCTCATTTTAGATTTTGGATCTGATGTTGGCTCTTCCACACAGACCACCCCACCCCCACCCCTGACGTGGCCACTGGCAGCTTGTTTGTTTAGCTGAGCTGACCTTGTCTGCTGACACAGCCTAAAGAGTGTCACACTGAGAATTTATATCAAGCAACCTAGAAGTCCTTGCCGTGTTGCTTTGCATTCAGAACATTTTTCAAATTAAGGGAAAGATGACATATCTCCTTAAGTGGAAGAGAACAACTTCAAATTAGGACTCTGGGAGCTGAACACAAGGCATCAAACTGGGCCTTGCAGGCAGCTCTTTCCCAGTTGGTGAGTGCCATGCAGGCTGTGGAGCTAGTCACCCCAGCGTGACAGGCAGCATCCTTACAGTAATGCAAATTGACTAGATGCAAGCAGACAAGAGCGAAGTCATTTGTTTATTTATTTCCATGAAACTTCAGATGTTGTGAAACAATTGGACACGCCAAGGTTCATTATGCCTTGGTCTTTCTGGGACAGCAGGGGCATTTTAGTGACACACTTTATCCCACAAACAACAAAGGACAAACCCATTAGGGGCTGGACAGGCCCTTCCTCCTGCCTGTACAAAATGCCCAGGCTCCGGCAGAATCTTTAATTGTTTTCCTTTTGTTTCATGGAATGGCTGCGTGGAGTTTGGAGTTTGTGCTCCTGTTTCTGTGCTCTCCATCAGTCTCTGCCTCCTTCCAGCACTGGGTGGAATTTTCTGAAGAAACACCAACAGAAAAGTTTATATGGGAGGATTAAAACAAATGAGAAAATGGAAACTCTTAGCAATTCTCTCATTAATTACATTTGCGAATCAGTCAGGGACATTCAATAATTGTTTCTTGTAAACAGTTAAGTGACTGTAATTCCAAGAAATGGCCTTTGCTAAGCAGTGGAGCATCCCCATGTTTGCTGGGCGCATCCTCCCCTCAATTAGCAAGGTTTGGTTTTGTTTTTATTCTAACCCTGAGACTGTAAAGTGGAAAAATGAAGATTCTTATCTGTGAGATGCTCGACAAAGGGGTGGAGATGAGAGTGGGCTGAGTGGGGGTGGAGATGAGAGTGGGCTGGGGGGGTGGAGATGAGAGTGGGCCAAGGGGGGAGAGAAGCCGGGGGAATGGAGAAGAGTGGGGGCCAAGCAGGAGTGTGAGCTGATGGAAAGGACAGAGCAGAGGAGGACTCGCTGGCTCCCTGTGGTCCTCCAGGCTTCTCTGGCTCAGGAGAGGAAAGAACAGTTTATTTCAGCAAACTTGCATTGATTTGTTTGCCTTTAATTTAAAATATGGATAATTCAGATCTTCAGGATGCCCTAGAGTTTACCTTTATACTTATTATGGGAAAAAAATGCTAAGCAAAGTAGCATCAGAAATGAAATGGTGGAACTCTGAAAGAGAAGCCTCTCCCAAGCACTGGGGAAGCTGTCCTTGTCACCTGTGTGCCTCTTACTACAATCTCCATGTGTCCATTAGAAAGTCATGCGAGGTTTCGAGGTCTGTTCCTCACCCATGTGCTGTTATTTCTTACTCTGTCAACACATAAGCAAACAGAGCCAAGGGGGGAGACAGCAGTCAAGTTCAATGACGATTATTAAACTCCCAGACCCAGCTCTATCGTATGGCTCTGCTTTCCCAATTTCCCTCTTTTTTTAACCTTCCTTCTTTTCTTGGGTCTGGGGTGGGAGGCAGTTTATGTACCCCACATTAGTTTTTTTGTTTGTTTGTTTTTACCTGGAACATTACAGTCTGAAAGTTTAGTTAACTTTTCAGACTCTATAAAATCTAGATGAAAACAGAAAGCTTGAGGGTTGCTGCACACTTCCTCAGACTTTGAGAAAGTTTCATTCGAAGTGTGTCTGTCCACTGGTGGGAGAGAGGAGATCTGAGGATGTGGGCAGGCCTCCAGAGAAGTGAAAATGCCCCCAATGGGAGGCTCCATTATCGATGCAGATCATGAACTGATGAATCTTGGGGTGACATACTCTTTTTTATTGCCTTGAGCAGTGGGGAGGGGAGAGGGAATGGAGGTATGGAGGACAATGAGGCTCAACCAATTCGAATGCGAAGATGCTGTCTATCATCTATCATGTAAGAGGTCTTTTTGCGTGTCAGTGGTTTGTCTAGACACACCATGGGAACACACCTTCCTAAGTCTACAAAGTTCAGCGCTTCAGTTCCCACCCTCTCTGGATCATGTTTGCCTTCAGCAAGGAGAGACAGATAATATACAGATAAAACGTCTCCTGGGACTACATAAAGAACATAACAAAGACAGAGGAAGAAAATGCATTCCAGAAGAAAGGCACCCAAGAGTCTCAAGCTTTCTTCATTGTCTCATGGGAAGTATAGATGCCTGATCATGGATTCTCCCCTTAGGAAGTGGGAATAGAGCTCTGTGGGTTACAAGATTCAAATTGGAGATTATAAGCCCTCAAGATCAAATAAACTGTAGTACTCAAAAAAGGAATGAAAGAGAAATGTATGAACAGGGAGAAGAAAGCCATGGTAGAGACTTAACAATTAGAATAAAGAAGCTGGGAATATGAGATGTGGTGGCCAATCCAGAAACCTCACAGAAAGAAACAGGGGCGAATAAAGCTAAGAGGATGAGTGGGGGAATGGAGAGTGAAGGAGGAAACTTGTATTTTTGAAGAGAATCCCATCTTCTGTAGGCGCCCTCTTAGCACAGGCTCACTTGGAACTGAGTACCAGGCACTCTTTCAAGTTATCTATGTATTTTCTCAAAGTTTGCAACAGCCCATGGAAAGTCAGAGCCAATAAACAGAAGAAAAGAAAAATTAACGTGTGCCAAAAGACAGATTTCTGTAGTAAAGACTTAAATCTGAAGCTCAAATGGACACTTGGTGTCCCAACAAAATCTGGTATGGAAAAATTCACAATACATTTCCAGCAGTGCTCACACTAGATACGCTAGGTTGAGTAAAGCATCCTGTTGACCACTCACTCAGGCCCAACCAGCAAGCCACATGAAAGGAGAGAAAAACAAAATGTTCTCCTGCTTTAGCTGAGCATCTCTCAGTGCCAGAAGAGAGAAGAGTATAAAGAGAGAGACCAAGAATTGTACCGGCAGTCATTTGTCCTTCATTGAAAGGGCAACATGCAGGCGCTTTCAAATAGTAATGAATTTAGTGTTATTATTCATGTACTTTCTAGAAAATTCTTAGACAACGGAGTGATGAGTCAGAATTGAAAACTTTCAATTGAAAAGCCTTTGGTAAAAAGCCTCATGGTATTGACTTTGTTTTCACATCATGAAGACTGAACAAACCTCGATGGTTATAGAGCAGAAACCCTGGCCAGCGGTGTGGTCAAATGTTAGTAGCCAAGCCCGAGTATGGGAGGAAGTGTGACTTTGAATCCCTCCACTTCTGTAAGTGGTGGGCTTACCAGACTGACATTGACATGGAAATAGTTTCACATGATGGTTTCAGCATTCTAATGCTTCTCATTATTTTTCTCTTTAACTTTAGAGAGACCTTTTAGAAACTAATATCTCTTGGGAAGACTAATTTCATCTAGAGCTGTTCAGTTCCTACAGTTTCACCTCCATTTCTGCTTTCTCTCTTTAATTCAAGCAAACCTGATACTTAGACTTTTTCATCACAGTAACATATATGGTATAATTGTATCTTCCCACCTACCTCCCTTCTGGTCTTTCCTTCACGTTTGTGTGTGTGTTGTGTGTATGCAAAATATACTGGAACACTATTTACCATACAATAATGATGTTTATTTCTGGCTAGTGGGATCTGGGAGGATGTTTCTTAAAATTTCTTTGCACTTTCGATTATTACCTGACATTTACAAAATAATAACTGTTACTCTCTCATACACACAAATGAAGTCATCATTCTTTTAAGAAACGAGAGTAATGCAGCTGAAAATGTTTCCATGTAGGGAAGACAGGCATGGGCCAGAATGCCTCTGCAGTGCAGCACTCTGCCACTTTCCACTTGCTAAGTGAACCATCCTGGTGTGACAAGCCTGGCCTTGAGTTTCCTCCAGGTGTATCTCCACACTTGCTGCGTAAGTGTGGCCCTGGGTGCACACAGAAACACAAAACCCCAGGCCCAGATCCATCCACCCCCAAGTTTGAGTCAGAAGAGGATAGAACTAGCACCCCCTGATGGTGGCATTCCAATCACAGCAATTGCAATCACAGCGTCAAGACTGCAAGGTTCTGTGGTAGAGCAGCAAACCCACGTCCGCAGCTTGCTTCTGAGGGTGAGGGTTGTTTGAACCCAGCTAGACTCTTGCATTTACAAACTGTTTGGGGTTGGGGGTCACCAGGCAGCAGCTGAGCTGACCCCTGTGACTGAGAGTATGTAGTAACAATGTCTGGACATTTGCTACCTGATTACAGTCTCATCTTGGAGCCAGTATTAAAAACAAAATGTCTTTTTCTTAAGACAAAGAAAACTTCTATTCAAAGTTTGCACATTTGCCTTTTGTTATAATCATTCTTTAACTTTTATTTTTCAATTTCTATAGATGTAACTTTTCCTAAAATGGATTTTTTTTTCTTAATTCCAAATCTAATGAGTAGCCTGTTGGTGGCAGCACATGCCTTTAACCCCAACACTGGGGAGGCAGAAAGATCTGTGAGTGTGAGGCCAGCCTGGTCTATAGAGAGAGCTCCAGGACAGCCTGGTCTATAGAGTGAGCTCCAGGACAGCCTGGTCTCCACAGAGAAGCCCTGTTGAGCTCCAGGACAGCCTGGTGAGGCAGAGGCAGGTGAATCTCTGAGTTCGAGGACAGCCTGGTCTATAGAGGGAGTTCCAGGACAGCCATGGCTCCACAGAGAAGCCCTGTCTCAAAAAACAAAACAAACAAAAACAAAAACAACAGCCAAATCTAGCTAGTTATGATTACCCATATTATTTTTTTTTACTGTTACAGCCAAGGAGCCAAATCTGTTTTTCTATATGCTTTATTTTTTAGAGCCCTTGAGCTAAAAATGGTTTAAATGTTTTAAAAACAGTATGTTTTTAAATAGTTGCAAATGTATATTCCTTGACTTTGCCCCTTGGCCCCCAAATATTAAAATATATAAAATACTAGCTGACCCTTTAAGAAAACATTTGCTGATCCTTAATTGAAGAGCTATCATAATAATTACTAGAATAACTGTCTTGAATTATAGCAAAATCTATATTTTTGAAATATTTTAAAGAGCTATTATTTTATTTCCTCGGGGTATTTATGGTCTAGCAGTAGTGGTTGGGATGATTGATTGTGCCATCCACGGATGGGCTGGCTGCTGTCAGCTTTGGATAGCATTGTCTGATGTGGTTGGTTGTAATAGTTAAGTGAAATCTTAAGACCCTTGACTTTGCTTCCTGAAACATGAGGACTGAAGAGGAGAGGTCCCGGAAAAACCATACCAAAATTTTGTTTTCATTAGGACTTCAACTTGTAGCCAGGGCAGAGCTAAGAGAATTGCCAATATGTAGAACCAAAACCCTGGTCACACCTTCCTCAAAGCCCCATGCTACCAACTCACTTCCTGGTTGTGTGAGCCAGCAAATGCCACTGATGTTCAAGTCCTTGAAATCAGGTTTCCATTTGCAGGTTGATGTTCTAACTAATGAAAAGGAGTGGTTTTCTTCCTCTAAAAAGAATGTCACAGAAATGCCCAATGACTAATTTCCAGAATTGTTTTATTTGGACACATCAAAAAATCATTGTGAAAAATTTAATAATACTGTTTAATAACATGGAGCAGGAAGCTGGGAAGAACAGTTATTCTGGATGAGTGAATCGGGACCTAAATACATCTGAAGGGCAGGAAATCACTGCCAATATGATGCTGGAATCTAATAATGTGCAAAGCTCTGAGCTGCATGGGGACATCTGCCTGAGCTGCACAAGTAGGAAAAGGAGTTGGCTAATCTAATCATGGGATGTGCCCATCAAAACTGCTATTGTGGTATCGAGCTACCTCCTTTAAATACCTACTCCTTCTCTGGCCACAGTGTGAGCTCAGTGCTAGGGTTCCTTTTAAAGGGACAGAAACAGGCAGACTGTAAACAAATGGACCAGCAAAGGTATGAAAATACACCTTGTGGGGTGCAAGAATTTGAAGGGCTCAGGACTGAATAGTGAGCACACAAGCACAGATGGATGAACTCCACGTTCCAGAGCATTCTGTCCTTCCTGCAGCCTCATTGTGGGAGCACCATAGTGGGAGCACCATGACTCACCACTCCTCTGTACTGATGAGGAAACCTACTTGTAGTAAAAACTGGCTTTCAAGCACATAGCTGTGACAGGGGTGAGAGCCACAGGAGATAGTGTGAAGAGACAGGGGCAACATCTCCAAATATTTTAAGTATTTAAAGGGTTTCTGGGGGGAAAGATACATGTTTGTTTTGTGTGGTTTCAGTCAGTCGTGCAAGCTCTTTGGAGCACACAGGGCCATGTGTCTGTCCCTTCTCCTTTTGAGTGAAGGAGGGATTTTCCTTCCCACCCTCTCTTCCTTTCTGTCAGACAGTAAACACAGCTCACTTTGAACTCACAAATGTTCCTCTCTCATCTCCTCAGCCACACAGCCCATGCAGCTCCAATTTTCTCTTGGTACACATCTTTCTTGCTCACATCTGTGCAGAACTTTAGCAGTGCCACTCTGTGGACACATGGGTAGCTGGCTTGCCTCAGCCAGACAATAACCTCCTTCTTGGTCCCCAGCTGTTGTGACCCCATCCTCCCTTAGGCCCTCATTTCCAGGCCTGTGCCAACTACACGAAGTTCCATTACTCACCTCCTCTTTGATGCTGTTGTCCTTGCAGCACACAAACTCGCTGCCAGCCCAGGGTCTCCAGCTTGGAGCTACTCATCTGTGACTCTGGTCCATGAGCCACGGAATTTTTTCTGATTTCCACATCTTTGTTGCACCTGGCCTTAGAAATTCAACAAGACAAAAGCCATGCTTGCTTGACCCCATAAACTGCCCTCCTTACCCTTGCCGCTTCTTTGGTAAGGCCCTGCCATCCAGGTCTGTAATGCTGTTCTTCAGATGCCTGAAATCAGCCCTGTGTCCTATTAACTTTTCATGTGTGGAATCCCACATCTCTTTTCTAGTCCCACTATGATCCCAGAAACATTATCTCTCATTCCTTCTTAGCGCTCTGTTTCCATGTGCCCCCGCTCACTCCCAGAATCACAATCTCACACCCTTCTGTAAGAAGCTGTTTCATATTGGCTATCGCTTAGTGTCAGCAGCAGATCCCAAAACTCCAGGCAGCTGTTCGAAGTCTTCCCAGCAGAAACTCTCTGTGCCTGCCCTGCTGGTCCCATGCTGGCAGCTAGTCCCAAGAATATCAGGCTCTTGGGCCCCTCTGTTTTTCACTCAGGCTACTTACTGAGTGATTGAAGTTGTCAGTTGTTAGTTCAGTTTCTAGTCCTTTAAGGGGCATTATGTGGTCTCCTCCTCCCCCGAAGTCATCGTTCCTCCTTTGGGTCTCTCCAGTTCTTTTGGACCACCCCACTAAGATAGGTTTTTACCATCTTCAGAGGAAGTGTCTTCTGTATCTGTGTCCACTGATTGTTCCTCTAGGTGCTTACAGACTCAGAGGAAAACAAAAATAGTACCGACATTTGGCTAAGTTCCCTCTGTGTGCCAGCTTACCTTTTAAGCAGAAGTATTGCCTTTGTTTTAGGATAGAGAGCCCAAAGTCAAGCATGTTTCCAAGGTCACAAGTCTGTGAATGTTGACTTCGGATATGAACTCAGGTTGGGGAGGCATTCCTACACTCAGTGTCCACCCCCACTGTGATGACCATGTATGGTAGCAGGCCTGAGTCCAGGCCTGTCCCTTCTTGGGAACCAGGGGGAACAGTACTGACAAGCCTGTGTACATACTGAGCACCCTTCCCATTCTTTTCTTTTCTAGAAATGAAGCTGCACAAAGGAGGCATCGTGGAGCCAGCCTCACCCCTGGCCATGACTCGGAGAGAATGGACAGGTACTTGGGAGCAGTGCTGTAACCTGAAAACTGTCTTGATAATTTCAGTATTTATTCAAAACACACACACACACACACACACACACACACACTATATATGTGATACTTTTGATTTTAAAAATTACAGGTTATATGGGGGCTAGAGAGATGGCTCAGATGTTAAGAGCACTGAATGCTCTTCCAGAGGTTCTGAGTTCAATCCCCAACACCACATGGTGGCTTACAACCATCTGTGATGAGATCTGGTGCCCTCTTCTGGCCTGCAGGGATATATACAGGCAGAACACTGTATACATAATAAATAGCTTAAACATTTCAGGTTACAGTAAATTTCTTGGCTTTCCATCCCATTGAAGATTCTTTTAATTTTAAGATGTTATGTATTATAATGAGTGTGAGCTTGTGCCACAGCGCACATGTGGAGGCCAGAGGACAAACTGTGGAGTTGGTTCCCTCCTTCCACCTTTATATATGTTCTGGAAATCAAACCAAGGTCACCCAGCTTGTAGGGCAAGCACCTTTCCCCCTTAAGCCATCTCACCAGCCCTGTTTTTATTTGCATATATTAATTATAGATAATAATGGGTTCCATGGCATTGTCATACCTGTGTCTGATGCATTTTTGTCATTTCACCTCCATGGCCCTCTCTTGTCTCCTTCCCACTCCTTGTACTGATATTGAAAAGATAGTGCCCTCAAGCCAACTGTAGTTAAGTTGCAGCCAGGCAACAGTGGGACCAAGTCAAGCATCCTCATGACTAGCCATGGCCACTCCTACTTGGAACACAAAATGTGTCTCAATCTGGGATTGCCTAAATATACTTTTGGCTTTTTTAACATTTAAAATATTTCTATTAATATTTTTAGGGAATATTAACTGCATTGAGTTTTAAGGTGGAAATGGGATATACCATGATGCAGTGAGAACAGTGGGTTGAAAATTAGGAGCTCTGCATTCAAGAGCTGACCCTGTTGTGTGACCTTGGGCACATTGGGCTGACTTCACAGTTTTCCAACTGTTTCTTGTTGTAACAGTGACCTCTTGTGGTCCATATCCTTAACCATTTTTTTCCTCCCAGCGAACTTTGGATTTATTTGTTTTTTGGTCCTTCCTAGTATTATATTTCATACTGTTAAGCAAGTAGACTCGTGTTCTTGCAGATAAATCTTAGATGGCAAAAGTACATTAAAGCAAACAATTGAACACTATCTCTTCAACTATTTGCTGTGGCTTCTTAAAGAACAAAGCCTACATGAACTCTACATGAACAAGGTTCAGTTTATAAAAATGAAAATACCTTTCTGTTTCATTCATTCCACTTTCTCCTAGGGACCAAGGGAAGTGGCGTACCAGGGCCTCCTCGTGTCCTAGCAGTTCAGACCTGAGCAGACTGGAAACCAGAACAGGTAAGATATTTGTGTTCTTGGCCCTCAACATCCTTCATCCTTCACCTTCAGCATCCTTCACCCGCAGCATCTCCACGTTGTTAAGCCAATGGGACTTGTTTTTCAAAGATAAATGTCAGGTGGAAGTCAAAGTCTGATTTGGGGAGGGTCTGGAGTGTCACACTGCATCCTGTGTTCATCGACTTCAGGAACTAGAACCAACTTCCTCAGAAACCAACATTTATTTTCTAAGTTTTCATTATTTCACTTCAGTCTTGCAAGTACCCAAATCTGATGCCTTCAATGTGGACAGATGCTCACAGAAATTATAGAGTAAAAATATCTGTAGGCTGGCCAAAGTTGACATCGGTGTAACTCTAGCTCAAATTCAAAAGCATTGCCCATTTAAGTGAAGATATTAAAATTTATTATGAAAGTCCTGTGGGAATTTTATTCTGCCTGAGAAAATATAGAATAATACAGCCCAAGGGCTAGAAATGGTACAAAATGTGGCCGTGATAAAAGTGAACCAGAGGCATTTGTAACATTGACTGGAGTCAATACAAGCAGCAAATGAAATATTAAGTTAGGTATCTCTGTGCCACATCTGGAAAGACAAAAATTCTGTCAGTCCTATTTTGAAGGTTTGTGACCCTCGCTCCAAGGGGAAGGATATGGACAGAGTAGGCATAAAGAAGGCTTCATTGCTTCAAGGTTTTAAGTCTTTAAAATAAAAAGAAAGATACACTCTAAGGTACAGAGAAACCCTGCCTCGAAACCCCCCACACACACACACACAAAGAAAGAAAGAAACAAATGTGGCACAATGTTACTGTTGGGCCAGGCTAATGAAGGCTGCACAAGTGGATGCTACATTCTTTATATTTTCTTTCCATTCATTCACACAAAGTTTTGTGTCAGGCTGAATGAGTATACATGTATAATCTGGGCATTTTGGAAGCAGAAGCAGGAGGATTATGAATTACAGGCAGGATGGAGCTACACAGTAAGACCTTGTCTCAACAAAAATAAAGATGATGATAAATGGTATCAAACTAGCACAGGGTGCAAAGCATTATTTTCAAGCTAGCTTCTCATCAGGAAGGAGGCTCTCTGTGGTCATAGGGAATGGTTCTAGAGCTCAGAAGAATCTAAGCCGTTCTGATTCCCAAGACAGCGCTGTTGCCAAGGGCTTTACATTTGCATGCTAAAAACATCAACCAATCCTAACATTGTGTCAAGCCGTTGTGTCCAAAACTCAAAGCTGTGGTTAACAACTGTAACCACTGAGGCAGCAGAATCTTCAAAAACAGGCAGTACTTCTGCCTGACTTACCCAATTTCCTGTTGAATAGTAATTTTTATATTTAGCAAACTGTGAACCTAGATGAAAGTGCTTTTTTAAGTTGTTCCCCAAGACTCTGTGTGTGTGTGCGCGCGCGCGCGCGCGCGCGCGTGTGTGTGTGTGTGTGTGTGTGTGTGTGTGTGTGTGTGTACGAGCATGTGTGTGTGCACGCATGTGCGTGTGTGCGTGCATGCTTCTGTTTTCTAGAATTAACTGGAAAGAGTGTCTAGAATTGAGGCAGTAGGACCAGTGAGGACAACACAGGGATAAAGAAGTGACAAGGCATGGGCAGACACAGCCACATAAATGGGGGTTCCTAAGAGAAGACCTAGAAGAAATCCTGAGACTAAATCCTTACTTAGTGTGTAGCTAACTTCTTAAAACGAGTCTGGAAGGTTTCAGAAGGGTCTTGAGGAGACAGCTGAACTTTTGTGATTTCTGACTCGACTTGATTGTCTCTTCCTGGGGTGAATATGTGTGATTTCACTGTTCCAGAGGAACTAGTTGCTAACTAACAAACACTTCATAGGTTTGTTTGTTGAGTTTTTTGTTGTTGCTTTTTTTTCCGTTTTGTTTTTGAAGACCATACAGATTTAAAGCCTGAATTTCTAGTCATTTTTGGGTTTTGATGTGTGGGAATAGGTTCATGTTCCTGTAGATGCTGCAAGTCAATGCCAGGTGTCTTTTTCTGCCACTCTACACCTTATTTTTGAGGCAGAGTCTCTCACTGGATCTGGACCTGGAGCTCACCATTTTGGCTACGCTGAACTGACCAGTAAGCTCCCAGGAACTGCCTGTCTCTGCTGCTCCATTCTGGGGTTACAGGTGTACAGCACCTTGCCTGGCTTCTTACATGAGTCCTGGGGATCTGAACTCAGGTCTGCAAGCTTGCAGCAGCAGGGACTTTACCCACCACGCCATCTCCCCAGCCCACTTTCTAGTAAATTTAAGTGTTTCACAAATATGTCAAGGAAATTTATTAGTATTGACTTATCAACTTCTGGCTTGTCATTTGCCTTCATAAATGCTGATTTTGTTTATATATAAAAAGAGAGAATGTGAAATGTATAAACATTGTGACACTATAATATACACCAATGAAGAGCTAAAATTTTAAAGGTAAAGATCCCACAAAACCCCAAACATGTGCATTTACTGAACACATATGACTTGGAAAGTGTTGTCATACCAACCAAATATGAAATTTTGTTTATGTACTTTAAATACGTTAGTTATCTAGGGATGTGAACAGCTGCACAATCATATACATGTTTTATCCAGTTCAGGAATACTCAAAAATCCAAATGGCCAAGGTGATGGTGTGCAGCCATTTTGAAGATGTCAAAGTTCCAAAAGTTGAGATATCTCTCAAACACAGTTAGTAACAATGGCAGATCTAGCCAGAGCTGTAGTGCTGGCCCTATTGGTGTGAGTGTCCGTGTACTGTGCTGTAGTGCTTGGGTCCTGCTAATGTGAGTGCCTGTGTGCTGTGCTGTAGTTCAGGCCCTGTTAGTGTGATTGCCCGTGTACTGTGCTGTAGGGTGCTGATGAGAAAGACCCTGTTATGAACACCACTTCCTTTCTTAAGTCCGGGCATTTCTGAATCCTGCCCCACACCTGACTCCTAAAGACAATTCAATTTTGTTTTATGTAGTCTTGCTTATGAGTTGGATAGCTAGCCAAAGTCTTTCTGTTTTGACTACATCATGTCTTTACCATTTAACCATAGTTTACTTGTCAAGAATTCCCTGCTTGCTTTGGTGCTCCGGGGATTTTCTGTGCTCAGTCTGCCCAGCCTCCCTTGGCACAAGTGACATTTGCAATAGGGAGTAGACAGTCCCAAAATGCAGTGGTGAGACCTGGGCACTGGAGGCAGATGCCAATTGCACAGCCTCCCTGCTTCTCCTGCGAGACCTCAGAGCTGTGTGGGGAAAGTTTCCTATTTGGGGGCTTGAAGAATCATTTCGACATCGCTGAATTCAAATTACATTTTAATCACAAGCCATTTTGGGTTATAGTCAGAGCTGGCTGCTCTTTATACAGACAGTTGAGAAGAGTTCAGGGGATTTCTTTTTTTGAAGTCTTATTTTTTAATTATGTATCTGCATATGCTGGAGTCCAGAAGGAGACACAATAAGTAAACCAAGAATTGTAAAAAAAAAAAAAAAAAAAAACCATAAATGAAGATGGTAGGTGTGTATAAATCTTCTGATTGCTCCTATGACTTCAACCATCCCATGTACATTTTCATTTTCTTGGTGCCATGTGGGGGTGCGGGAGGCAGACATTAGATAGAGGAAGGAGGCTGAGGAAGGCCTCCATAGAGCAGCACCCACTCCAACTCTGATTGGTGACTTGAGATACTGCCTATGCAATGTGGAATCATGAGTTGCCATTTTCTCTATGAATTCTGTTTTATACATTGTTGCCTTTTAATCTGTTGGTTTGCAATGGAACTGAATGATAAGGGCAGCAGAGTTATATGACTTTAGGAAGATAATTTAATAAGCCTAGCTTCCACCTAGATTCTACTTTCTCTGTCTTCAGAAGCAAAACAATACAACAGGAGCCTCAGTTGGGTGTGCCAGCTCACCTGTAGTCCTGGGAGGCTGAGGCAGGAGAATCACAGTGGGTTCAAGGCTAGCTTGGGCTACATATTGAGTTCTATTTTAGAGTGAGACCTTGTTTCAATGGGCAGAAGAGGGAAGAGGAAAGGAAGAAAGAAAAGTGCCTCCCAAAAGACTTCCTCTTCTGTATCCTGGATGCAATCAATGGCAGCATTGCCCTCGAGAGCTTGTGTAGCACTTCGTGGCCCAGTGGTGACACACATCAGCACTCACCTATTTGTTTAGTCAGGGAAAAGAGGTTCACAGATCTTCAGTGTTGCTAGATATATGCGGCCCTTGGGCAGAGTTTTGCCTCTATTGTGACATTTAGTTTTCATAACCCTAAAAGCAAATATTCTCCTTTTTGCTGATGAGGAAACAGGCTTGGAAAGGTTCTAAGCTAGATAGACAAAGGTCACCCTACATGTCAATAATGGAGTCGGGGTGGGGAAACCATGACATTTCCCCCACCCCACAGGAAAGCACAGCGTTAGTGGTACTTCCTGTATAGTGTCTGTCCTGAAAGGCTAAGATTTTTATAAAGTCTTTTCAGCTTTTAGTCTTTATGTATGTATGTACACATATGTGTATGTAGGTGTCTATTATTATATGTTACAGAGGGAAAAGTTTAAGTAAAATTTAACTTAAACCAGTTTGCTTTCCAGTGGCCAGCAGCCCCATCACAGTGTTCTGTTCTATGAAGTACTCTAATCCCACTTGTACGTTGTTTCTTTGAATTGCCTTCCCCAGGTTTCATTTGGGGTACCTTGATAAAAAGCTTCGTGTTTCTCTTTCGAATTGGGACTTGGGGCAAAGTGAGATTTGACTCTGTTCTTATCAATCTCAGCGGTGCGGAGGAAAGGCTGTTGAGTGTGCCCTGTTACATGTCCTTTTTCACGATGCCTTTTCCTTCTCTGGATTCCTTTGCAGCCTCAAGAACCGGCTTACAGGAACAGGAGACAGAAACAGAAGTAGACGGAGTCTTTTGGAAAACACGGATTGTACCGATTTTGCATGAATTAGAAAAGGGTAAAACAATAGTTTTTGTTTTAAATAAAAACTTTGCATTTATCTGTGTGTTCCCCATTGCCCTGATATTTTCAGTGTACTTGGACTATTATTTCTGTGGATATGATGAAAACATGTCATGTATTTGCATACCCTAGAAACATGTAAAGCAAATATTATGTAAACCAAATTGCTGGGGAGTAGAATTATACTTGGAATGCATGGAAGGAGCCAACTTCTAAAGCTCCCTAGTAGTGCAGATTAGGGAAGTGTCTCTCCCTGAGGAAACACTGCGTCAGCCTCTTCAGGGAGACTCTTCACATTCTAGAACATCAAGGAAAGCAGGCCTCTTGAACTGAGTGGGTCACACAGGCTAGTCAGCTAGAGCTGTACCCATGCTTTGTTGATTATCTTGACTCCTGAGGTTCAGTGCCTCTGCCAGGGAGGCCACTCACACAGCTCAGGAAGTGGCCTGGGATGTGTCTTGTCTAGCACTCCATAGGGGGCACAACAAGGCATTCCTGGGGGGGTATGGGGAGCTGCCGGAGAGGACTCTGCCCAGTTTTTCAGAATTCCATTTGGGAAGGTGAACTAGAATCCTCTGGACCCTTGAGAGCCACAGGGCAATCCCCATGCTTGGTACCATGTGCACAGTGGGCCCTCACTAGGACTAACTGAGTGACTACTCCCAGATGCATGAGCAGCATGGCAGACACTGGAAGGTGTGTGTGTGGGGGGGGGGGGGAGAATGCAGGGAGCTGGCATCCTTACAGCTGCAGGCAGGGAGCTGGTACAGGACCCTGCTTTCCGAGCAAGCAGCCAGCACTCCCATGCTGTGGCTAGGCTGTGCTCTCCATGGTGTGGGTCCTCTGAACAGGCTTTCTGCACCCCCCTGCTAACAGCAGGTGCCTGGTGGCACATGTAAACTCTGCACTCAGAGAGGAGTGAAACCACATCACCCCCCAGAGCCCTTTGCAGTTCCAAGTTCTGGGAGGGTAAATGTAACATTTCCCCATTGGAGCTACCATTTCCGCTGTCCTATTAGCTTGGCCAGTAAACACTGAGCCATTCCTTCAGGAAATGAGTGAGAAAGGTGAGTCTGGGCAAGGCTGAAACCACACCAGAAGCCTTCAGGTAGGAGGCCTGCCTGGAGGGCCAGTATGCCATGGTGGGGTCTTCAGTGCAGGTAGGAGGCCTGCCTAGAGGACTGATCTTCCATGGCAGAATCTTCAGTGGGCACCCAGCACTCCACCTACCAGATACCAACAGAGCAAACTTAGGATCTCACTGGGAGTTAGGGTGTGAGGTACCAGGCCTGTTACTCTGCACTTGGGAAACTGTGTTCCATAGCTGGGTTTCATAGCAAGAGTCCATGTCAAAAACAGAACCCACAAGCAAACTCCAGAAATATCACATCTTTGTCCCTAGACACATTTAGAACCAGCAAGCATAAGTCCGGTTTCCTTGATACCTTGTAGTTCCTTTGATTTGATAAGTGGTTAATAGGTTAGTTAAAATAGTTAATAGAATAGTTTTAAAATCTTGCTTCCCCTTCTCCCGTATTCCCCAGTACTGTGTTCTACCACACTGCCTTGCCATTCTCCTCTCCACGTGTTCCTCTTTCGCTGAGCCCTGATACACTGTTGTTTTTTATTTTCTAGAATTTTTTGAGAACACATTGGTAACATTTTCAGGGCCAGCCTCAACTGCACAATAAGACTTTGTCTCAAAATGAAACAAAATAAAAGCAAAGAACCCCAAATCTATCTTGGTAGCTACTTTGGCCTGTGATTTTTCTATTTGTTAGTTTTGTGGTCATGCAACACCATACAAATCTTGTCTGCATTTTGTTCATTGTTCCTATGATTTCCTTTCTAGAAAAAGAAAGCCCCTGGGTCACAAGTTTCAATCATCTGTCCTGATACAAGTGAAAAGCACAGGCCATTTATTGTACAACACATCCCGGGCATCAGGTTTTTCTCCAGTTTTCTTGTGCTGAGACCTAGATCAGGCCTTTGGGGAAGGAATAGCCACACACTTACACTACATCTTTCTCGTGCCTCATGGCAGGAAGCCCTTGTGTCGACCTGTCCCTTACTGGAAATGTGAATTTTGGTCATTGGGGTCAAGTGGTGTCTGCCTGGCTCCGGCTCTGTGTAGCTGCTGGGTTTCCCTTTGTGGTTAAGGAGTGACTTGTGGGACAAAGTTACTTGGTGACTATCTTACTGTCCTGTCGATTACACATGAAATTCTTAACTAGCTTTAGCTCTTAGAATGTGTTTTGAGGCCATGTGCCTTTCAGTTTTGTTTTGCCTTGGTTCTTGAAACAGTCTCCATTATGTAGCCCAGGCTGACCTTGAACTTGCCGTCCTCCTGTTTTAGCCTCCAGAGTGCAGAACTCCACCTGGCACTGACAGTTAGAGAAGTCTTACTTGGTCAGTAGTTGAAACTTTGATCCTTGAGCCTTCCTTCCCAATTCTTTTGTAAGTTACAACGGTCTTGAATAGAGCCCAGGCAGCTGAGGATGACCCAAAGCTTGGACTAGAGATGAGACAGACAGTCCTCGAAGAAAATAGCAACGCAACACAAGTGCTCCACACACAGATCTCAGGCCCCGCTGTATCTCAGGCTGGTTATTTCCCACCAGCTTTGGAGGGTACTCAGCTATTGAGCTTTAAACTTTTTTTCTTAGATGTTATTGTTGAAAAGAGCTAAAAATGACCTGAGTCACTTCCTTTTGCTGGCGCACACTTCCTCCACCTTGGCATCTACGAGCTCATCGTGGTATTTATTTAAGATCAGCTTCCCACTTTTAAGTTTTGTGATGGGGTCTATCAGAGGTAATGCGAACACACTAGTCCTTGAATTCTTTTATTTCCCAGTGTGTTCCCTTCCAGTGCTGGTTCTCTTTCCTGGTTAAGCCACTCTCAAAAATCACTGTCCTTGGGATCACAACTCTAAAAGTGTTCTCGTCTCCCTCATTCCCAGCTAACACCTTTTTAAAAGTCTCCTCTTTGATAATAACGGTGGATGTTATTACATCTCTTTGCCCAGTCATTTTGAAAGGAACATACCATTCATTGTTTTCATCAACAGATATATTAGAAGGCAAGCTTGCTTGAAGTTGTAGACTATCTATTCAGTATGCTTGCTCTACCATGCAGGTGTGCCAATCAGGATCCCTCCTCACTTATAGCATCAATCTGTACATAGCACAACACACCTATTCATATGGGAAGAATAAACAGAAAATAAACAATATTTGCTCCTTTGGAGTCATGCAACTTGTTTGAAGAAATGGAGGCAGAAATGCAAATGGCGTGCCTCAGTGAGAACGAACAGAGTCCAGATGGAGGTGGAGGACAGAGAGGCCGGGGGGGGGGGGGACTTTGAAAGGCTATTCCTCCAGATAAGCTACATGACTGATTGTAAATATGTTAACCTAGGAGATGGAGCAGAGTGATGAAAACAGCCAAGTAGATGGAATCGAGAGGAGAAAGGGGAATGGCGTCTGGGAATTTGGAGATGTCTGGGGAACTCCCAGGGGGCTTCTCCCTTCACTGCTTGTGTCTGACATATCTGAAAACTCAGTCTTAATGAGTAAGTGGTGGTCATTCTCTTTGCTCTGACAGAAGAAGACATTGATGCAATGTGTGCCGCCTGCACGCAGCTCCATCATGTGTTGGAGGAAGGGCACATGCTTGGAAAGAAGTTTAGGGGAAGAAGTGTCCTGCTGAAGACCCTGTATAAACTAGTGGATGCTGGCTCAGATTCGCTCAGCCTTAAACTTGCAAAGCTTATCCTAGCAGTAAGTTTGTCTTTCTTTCGTTCTAGCGGACTGCCGTCCATCTGTGCTTTGTCAAATGATTTGCTTGTCCATATTGCAGAAAGATGAAAAATGAGATGTTTGTTTAGAATCTTGGGAAAATTAAGGCAATAAGCTCATACCCCAGAATTGGATTAGAAGGTGTTCCCTGAGAAAGAAGGCTGAGCACATAGGGAATATCCCAACAGGCTTGCATCTGGACTGTGCCCAGAGTCCATTTTAAAAGGATGAGAGAGAAAAGGAAAGTCAAGAGAGGGAAGAAAAATTTACAGCATCAAACATATCCCATCAAACAACTAGATTGAGCAGTTTGGGACAGTACAGACTGTCGACTTTGCCCTGTAGTTCCTGCTGGGAGCCCAGCTCTGTCTCATGGTTTAAAAAGTAAAGACAAGGGAAAGATGCTTTGTGAGCCAGTGTGAGAGAAGAAACCAGCTGCATGTGGTCACAGGAAGGTCCCTTGGTGGCCCTAGAAAGCTTGTGTAAAGTGTTAGAAGAAAAGGCAGATACCAAATAAAAGTCTGGGGCAGCTCTGCTCGGAACAAACCTGACTGGTGGCTTTGTTGTCACAGCCATGAACAGTCAGAACCAAAAGATAAGCCCTAGCAGTTCTGGAACATTCTAAGAGAGCATCGACAAATGGATGACGCTCCATTTACCTGTTTCCATAAATGTAAGTGCCTCTGTACCCATCCCTGGTACAAAGGAAGATGGAAAGCAGACTGACCAGAAGGGAAGCTCCATGTCCTAACAGTGTAGGGAACATGTTCATTTCATCTTATTTTGATAGTTAAGCCTTTCAAAGTAGAATACTCTAGCCACATTTTTTTGTGTGTAATTTTGGGTGGAGACTACACCTTTACTTAGCTGTCATCATAAAGCATCCATTCTCTTTAGCAGTCATGTGTGACTTGGTGCAAGGTTCCTTTGGAAGGTAATTTCAAATGGTAATGTCGGGCTCTGATAGTGGAGTTGTCCCAGGGAGGACACAGGCTGCCAACACTCAGGGACTGACTTTACCTCCTCATCTGGATTCTAGATGTTTTGTTTCATGATTACCCTCCTACTCCCCCCCCCCAAAAAAAAAGAAAAGATGAGACGGAGTGAATCACAGAGCTACTAATGTTTTCCAGTGAAAATATCACCAAGGTTATTGGTGGTGGTGTGCAAATTGGTGTGTGTGTGTGTGCGTGTGTCACAGTTTAACTGAATTAGGCTTTCTGAACTGGATGTTAAGTGGGTAAAACTTAAGTAAGTTAAACAATACTGCCTATCCCAAAGAATTTAGGCAAGATTAAGTTCAGATACAAGGTTATGTGGGTTGGTGCCTTCTTTTTATCTTTTTAATTGTTTTATTTAATGTGTGCGTGTTTCCCCGAATGTGTACATGCACACCATATATGTGCTTTGTGCCCATGGAGGCCAGAAGATGACATCAGATTCCCTGGAAGTGGAGTTACAGGTGGTTGTGAGCCATCATATGGATGCTGGGGACTGAACCTAGGTCTTCACAGAAGCAGCCATTGTTCTTAGCCAATGAGCCATCCCTCTAGTGCCATTTGGTGCCATCCTACTCACTATGGAGCCACCAGGTCAGAAGGGACCGTCAAAGCAATGGCATGCAACTTCCTATTGGCTGCTTGGATCTCCTCTAACATTCCAGGGGAGATCCAGTGTAGATGAGGCTGTGGGTGGGGTCCCATATAAATTCTCAAGACGCCATATCACAAGCTCCATGGAAGGAAAATGAGCAAAGGCTAAACAGAGCCCAATGTTCTACACTGAATTTCTTCTTCTGGCCATTGTTTTTTCTGTCCACCATTTTGGTATTGCATTGCAACCATTTAACAGTATTTACTTAGAAACACGCAATAAGCATGTGGGTTGTTTCAATTTCTTGAATTCTTTGGCTAAATAGAGATCTGCCAGTTAGCCATTTTAATTTTAACCCCTGCTTTTAAAAATCCTTATGAAAATATGTCAGTCTGTATTAAGCATGTTCAAAGAACACACACATGCTCAATAGGAGGGCAACTGTATTATGGAAGTGGAAAAATTTTGGCACCCTTTTCAGAGGGGTAAGAATCAAAAGAAACACCCAATGTGTCATTTGTGATTAGATATAGTAGAGGACAGGAATGATTTCAAACTTCTTTAATTTGGAAAACAAAAGCATCATTTTTAATGTAAGGAAAAACCTGCCTGGCATGGAAATGGTGCATCACCAGGAGTTCATCCTAGCCCTGAGAGCACCTGTAAACAAGGCAGCCAGTCCCCCAGGACCCATCATTGAACTCTAAGGAGGAGTCAGGGGCTCAGCCAGCCAGCACCTCTGGCCTCCCCAGTGCTGGGCACAGTGCTCCTCGCTGTTGATGCTGCTTTGATGAAACTCAGACACCTGTTTGGTTTTTTGTTGTCTGATTTTGTTGTTGTTGTTTGCTCCAAATGGAATGTGGGAGACGAGGTGAGCTGCATTGTGGGCATTGTCGGATGCAGAGCCCAGGCTACCCACCGTACTAGGAAGCTGAACTGGTGGGGGATTTCAAGCTCCAGCCTCCAGTGGTGTCTGCCAGCACATCCTACCCTTGCCCAGATGTGGAAAGGGTTTTCTGTTTGCTTCAGTCAGCACATTTTCTGGAGTATAAAGTCATGCTGTTGTAATCACTGTCTTAAGTTCCCATTTCTGTTTTCTTCCTGAGAGTGGAAGGATTCTTACTCTGTCCTGTGAATGCCCTGGCTAGTTGTTATAGTGCAGGCTCTGATGGGAGTGCAGTGGGGGACATGCGCACATGCATGCATACACACACACACACACACACACACACACACACACACACACACACACACACACACACACACACACACACACACACACACACACACACGGCATTCCTAGAACACAGAGACAGCTCTGCAGGTGGGTATAGGGCCCCTTCTCTCTGCAGAGCAGGGATGACACCTAAATGGGCAGGGTTCTCTGATCACCAAGCACAGGCCCAGAGTGGATGCAGCAGGTGGAGACGCTCAGCTGTGCTCCCTCCTCGCTGCCTCACCAGCCCCAGACAACCTACCCAGCTTTCTGTCTCCATCAGGGAACAGCTCATCCCGTGAACAGCTAAGTGTGCAGTGGCATTTGTGGTTCTAACAGATAACTTGAGCATACTCTATTATCTTGCTAAAAATTAACTGAAAACTCAATAAAAATATTAGAGATAACTTTTTAAATAGTAAATAATGACCCTTGTGCCATCGTGTTCATAGAGGGGTCTTTATTTGTTCAGAGGACACCATTCCTACAGACACTCTGCAGAGGGCACACAATACTCCCGCCTGTTCCAAAAGTAATAGATGTTTTTCTTTTTAAGACCAACAGCCTGAGTTTGAGCTACAGGGCCCACATGATAGAAAGAGGGAAGCAACTCCTATAAGTTGTCTCCTGGCTTCTACATACTCACTATTACACACACACATTTACTATCAAACTCACATACACTGTCACTACACACACACACACACACACACACACACACACACACACACACACACAAAAAAAACAAATGTAAAACAATATAATAAAACAAAGAGTATTGCGTGGGCTCAGTGGCACACTGAGCCAGCCCTCAGGAAGCAGGGGCAAGTGAATCTTGGTCAATTTAAGGCCTACACAGTGAGATCCTGCCTCAGCCAAACAACACAAAGAATAAGTAGTATTCTTTCTTGGGGTGCTTATTTAATTTGAATAGTTTTGCTCTTCCACAGTTTATTAGAAAATTCTGCACTATTGCCCATTCTTTACTACTTTAGATAATGTGCATCTAGTTAGACCTTGGTTCTGCTGGTCACTTTATTTTTATAAAAGAAGTTGTACTTCATTATTGCCTTGTGTTTAATTGACTTAGATATTGTTGTGTGGTTGAGAGGGTAATTTCAGCTTCAAACAATGATCATCTCAAAGCATTCCAGAAATAGCCCCGTGGATAAGCACAGCCTAGTCTAATCCAAAGCATTGGTTTTAATTCTTTTATACAAATGACAGAGGGAGCAGGCTTCCTTTGTATTTTCTTTCCTTTGCCCCTCAATGGATACTCTTCTAGATTAGTTTAATCTGAACTTTGGTATCCTCCATCCTTTATTGTCATGTTCTAAATCAATTACTCTGTTTAATGCCACACTCTAAAAAACAGCTAATAGTTTTACACACCAGTGCACAATGTTTCATAGTAAGAAAGCAACCTTGTTATTAAAGTGTCCATGTTTACGGAAGTGAGTGAGAAATTGGAGCCAATGCATAATGTGGCCGGACTTTTTAGGTTCTTTCCTTGGAACATTTCTTAGGTTTCAAACCCTCTTCCTGCGCTGAGTGTGGAGGTTCTAGAGGTGTTGAGCCTGCCTTTACCTGTGCCGTAGAAACACAAGCATGTTCTTTCTCCGCAGCTTAAAGTGAGCAGAAAAAACCTTCTGAATGTCTGCAAACTGGTATTTAAAGTCAGCAGGAGTGAGAAGAATGATGTCCTGATGCAGACCGACAATATCCTGGGTGAGTCCTTTGCAGTGCCCCTGAGGGGAGGAAGCCCCCCCCAACACACACACACACACACACACACACACACACACACACACACACACAGCACAGATGCCAAGTCCATGGAGGAAAACAAGAGAGAAGGGTAGTGAGACATTTTAGTTTCAGGGAAAGTTCAGAGGTGTGGCAGTTGTCTTTCTCTGTTTCTCACATTCAATTTAAAGCAGCATTTAGAGGCTAGTGGGATAGACTGGGTTTTGGTTTTCCTCCTTCAATGCATGTAGGGATGTTGTGTGACTTGAAGAAATCACTGTGTAAAAAAATCATTTCCGTGGCCTGGAGTTACTGTTAGAATAAACACACCTAAAAGTTTTTGACATAATCACAAAGTCTTGTCTCTTGATACAATAGGAATAAGTAGAAAAAAAATTGGAGAGATGGTTGTGACTTACAGAACACTGATGTGGACACAGGTTCAATACAGAGCTACAGACGTTTTACCCACACTCCCAGACTAGCTAACCATGTCCACTTCCCAACAAGTCCCTAAATAAGTAAGTGGGAAACTTTTAGGAGTTGTGCTGTTCCTGCAGAAGAGGCAGCCATGGAAAGCACTGTAGTCATTTTGGGATGACAAGGGACAAAGACCTCAACAAACAGGGATAAAACCAAGGCTGAAAGAATGTCTAGCACCGAGTCACTAGGCTGAGAATTACAGATCAGAACAAAGGATCGAACATCCCCTGTGACAGGCTTACACTTGAACGTGGCATCTCCATCCACCCTTGCTCAAATCATCTGGAATCTGGGTCAGTCACTGGGTATTTGTTGTTGGGTTTGTTTTTGTTTGTTTGGGGCAATAGTGGGATTGGCTTTAGGATGTGATGCCCTCTACCACTGAGCTTTAGCCTGTTGTTGTTGTTTGTTTGCTCACGAAAACAGAGTGAGACAGGGTCTCACTCTGAGCGTAGAATAGGCTGGGCTCAAATTTGCTGTCATCCTGCCTTGGATTCCTTTGTCACTGTGCTTTGGGAGGGAGGCAGGCCTCAACTGTCTTAGGAAGGGGCGAATGCTATGTCTACAATCCTTTTCAGTAACAGATTGATTTTAAAGTTCCTGTGTGATCCATGTACCATTAGAGGAGCAACAAATACATTCTTCAAGATTTGTTGAAAATATAATTCTTAGATTGTCTTTGTTACTAGACAATAACTTGACATTTTTGTGCCTTAAAAATAAAGTCTGGTAAATATTACTAAGAGCCAAGGAATGGCATTTAGTTAAAAGAAGGCTTTCTTATTTGCATATGAACAACCTCTCCTTTTGCTCTCATCACTATTATGGAGTTTGTTTTTTTTTTTTTTTTTTTTTTTTTTTTTTTACCGACTTCCCTGCCTGAGGAGGAGCAGGGAGAATTTGCATGTAGCTTTCTATGAATATATTTTACAAATTGTGTGCCAACATCAAATTTGCTGTTGTACTTAGACATTCATAGAAATCCGTCTTCTCGGCAGCATCATTATTGGAGGTGCTGAGAGGCGAAGACCTGCAAGGTAACACGGAAGCCTTTTTATACTGCATGGGAGCTCTGAAATTCATTTCCGGGAGTCCAGGATTTCTTACTGAGATGGTCAGCAAAGGTGCCGTGGAAATACTGACAGAGTTGATAAAGCAAGTGAATGAGGACACGAAGAAACGCAGCACATGCCTGCCGGATTCCGGCAACTTGTTAGTCCAGGTAAGTGTTTTACTTGAAAAGGTAAGAGATGTAAATGGTGTTAGTTTAAAGTAGCAGACAAGAACCCTTCGCATCAGGAGGGGATTCAGGGGCTCAGAAATCAGGGGGAGTGGTTGCTGGCCAAGTCAGTGTGTGCCCTGCTGAGACTGTGAATTGGTAGAACACCCCCCCAATAAACACTCCCACTGTCCTGCAAAGAAGGCAGAGCTAAAGCCTGGCTTGGTGGTGGTGGTGGTGGTGGGCTCTGTGTGTGTGTGTGTGTGTGTGTGTGTGTGTGTGTGTGTGTGTGTGTGTGTCT